AAAGTTCTGACCTGAACCTGAAGGAAAACCTGTGGACTCCGACTGAAAGGCGGGTCCGTTCCAGGAAGACAAATGAACTGAACCAAGAAGAAGAAGAGCGGTCCAGTACCAGCCAGAGTTCAGCTAGAAGCTCGTTGATGGAGACAAAAAGCCTGAGGACCAGGAGACGCCTGCTGAGGGACAAAGTCCATGCTCTGAGGGACGTTTAACCAAACCTTATTGGGGGTGCACGGACAAATTTGAGCCGACTCTGGATCGGTAAAAGCCCAGTTGTTGTTTGTGTGCAGATGTTCTTGGGCTCATCCTGAGCAGCGGGGACTTGGAGACTTCCTGTTGACTACAGGGGAGGGGACTGCTGCCTGTTCAGAGGACGCTCCAGAACCTTGTCCAAGGTGATGACGGCTTCGGATTACGTCTGTGTTTTCCACCCGTCCTCAGAGGAGCTGCTGGGAGCCCAGCTGGTGGACAGAGAGGTCTACCTCAGGTGTGACTCCAAGCTGCAGGGCTTCACCTCCACGTCCAGCCACAGCAAGACGGTGATCGTCTGGGGCGAGACTTTCCAGGGTTTACGGGTCCAACGTCTTTACATTACAACCGTCTGATCTGAGCTTTGCCCAGGAAACGGTCTCAAACACCTTAAAGTCTCCTTCAACCCCTGAGCATTGTGGTCTCCCTGCAGGGACCAGACCCAGTCTGTCCACCAGCGTCGTCTGCCCAAAGACCAGATCACCTCTGGTGCCCTCGGTCCCTGAATGCAGCTTCTACAGGACAGGTGTACCACAGGGTCCTGTAGCAGGAACCTGACAGTTTGGGAGAAACCCACCCTGCAACTCTAATCGTTGATTAACTGATCCAAATTCACGCCAGAGCAGTTTCATTTACTCACTAAACTTGATCAAATTTGCAGATATTTTACAATTTTGTTTCCAGTGTAAAACAGTTTATTACTTTCTTAGAACTTTCCCTTATTTCCTCCTCAAAACCCTTTATGGCGGTTGACTTATTTTACTAAATTACATCGATAAACAACTGTTTGAAATCAAATAAAAGTAAAATAATAAATGTAAATTACTGTGTTTTAATTTTGTCTTTTATTTTAACTTTTTTTTTCCTGATTTCTCTTCAATCTATTTTCTTTTGGAACATGCCAAAGAGCTGTTTTTTGTATTCTTTTTTTTTTTTTTCCTCTAAAACTTAAAGTCATTTCGAGTTTCTGAATATTCGGTTCAGTGACAGCTTCAGTGTTTATGTATTTTCGATTAATCGTTAACACAAACTGTAACAACTTGAAACTGATAAATAAATATGAATCATTTAGTTTGAATAACTAGTTAATTTAATCTCAATAGCGATCATACCATACCATACCATACCATACCATACCATCATATGACGCTTTGAGTCAGTTTTGAATTTGTTTTAGAGTGAGTTAAGCTAACATGCTAACAGCTAAGAAGATGAAAACAGTGCTTTTGATTTATTAAAGTATTTTTACAGTTTACTTACACTGCCAAACTCCCAAGTGCCACCATCACCCATCTGATCGATGGCAGCATCATGGGAAATGTAGTCTGTTGAGCAATTTTCGGCGGCCGCGACTATGATGAAAAAAACGACGTTACCCATCATGCTGCGCGCGTTTTCTTCCTTCTCTTCCTTCCTGCAGTCTCGGCCCTTCGCCGCTGAAAAAAGATGAGAAGCCGCTGCAGTAGTCCGGACCAGAAGTAGTCCGGACCAGAACCGACAGTGAACCGAGCCAGGCTTCCAGCGGAATGTCGGCAAAGCGGCTGCTGACGGAGCGGAGGCCGAGCTCAGCTGCCGATCCCCGGCCCTGAACGCGACCGGAGCCGCGCAGCCCGGAGCAGAGCAGCGGGCGGTAGGAGCCGCAGCCCGCCGGGACGGGCCGCCCCGAACCGAACAGAGTCAGACATCCACCGTCCGGACGAAAATGCAAAGAAATCCGCAGGACTGAAGTGTTTTCTGCTCCGCGTCCCGAACCTGATCTCCCCCAGCCTCCCCCCTCAGGTAAGATCCCCCACCCCCACTCACCCCTGCACACCTGGAGGCTCAACCGGGTCAGTGTTCTGGCCCAAAGTGTCACCGTCAAGTTGGAGCAGGTGTTTCAGTCAAATATGTGACCTGTCAAAGTGACGCCTCCATCATCTGCCCATAAGTCTTTTATTTGGAAGAGTTTATATGATTTTTTATTTTACAACCCTCCATTCAAACCTTTCTTCTTACCTTTTAAGTTAGTTTTTATTTGTAATATTGAAAATTAAAATGTTTTTTGATCCGATTCTTGAAAAAAAGAACAACGTTCTAATCATGACATAAAACTCAAATTCTATGGGATTATTGGGGGCAGCTATGACAGAACAGTCACAATTTTGAAGCTGCCACTTCAAATCTGTCACTGGTTGTCATGGCGATCCCGCCTTTTCTAGGGAGCAGAGGGTGGGACAGGTCACAACTCTTCACCGAAAGTAGAAACTGAGCCGTTGTAAGAAAACTACAAGTCTGATTGAAAAAGAAATCCTAAACCGAGAGTGGCGGAAAGGCTTATTTTTATGTTTCTACGAGGTTTCATGTAAAAAATAAAAACTTCCTGATGACAAACCTGCTGGACAATAAAACAAACAAGACAAAGGAAAACATAAATGTATTTATGCTTGTCAATTTAGTCAATATTATATGAAAAACTGTTACCACAAGTCATGGCACACTGTTTGTTGTAAACAAAAGAATAATAATCACAAGAATCTTTAATTTTTTTAATAATTATTTAATGTTTATGCATGGCCACCGTTAAACATTTAGCAGCTGAAAACTCCCAGAAGAAACTTTAAAATGGCCATAAGTGCACCAGATGGCTGAATTTGTTAAGGTAAATAATGAATTCTTGAAGTTAAAACCAGCAGAACAGAAGCTAAAATGTACAATTTGCTAAATAGTAGCTAAAGCTATCAGAACATTTGCTAAAAGTTAAATGTAGCAAACCGTAAATAAAAGCTAATATGTATAAAACTGCAGCTAAAAGCAAAAATTGACTAGATAAAGCTTAAATGTGCATCATTTGATAAAAACAACAATCAAATCCTGAGTCCTGGTCTGATGATGGTCTGTAAAAGGCTCTAAATTGGTTTAAATCCTATTTATCTGATAGATTCTAGTTTGTAAATGTAAATAATGAATCTTCATCATACACCAAAGTTAGTCATGGAGTTCCTCAAGGTTCACTGTTTGGACCAATACTCTTTACTTTATATATGCTTCCATTAGGTAATATTATTAAACAGCATGGGGTAAATTTTAATTGTTATGCTGATGATACTCGGTTATATTTATCCATGAAACCCAATGAATCCAATCCGCTACTTAGACTACAAGCATGTCTTAAAGACATAAAAACCTGGATGACCCTTAATTTTCTCCTGTTGAACAGACAAGACTGAGGTTTTAGTTTTTGGACCTGAGCACCTTAGGAATTAATTTTTCAGTCTTTCTCCCTCCTTAGATGCATTAATCTGTCCTCCAGCTCTAATGTTAAAAATCTTGGTGTTATTTTTGATCAGGACATGTCTTTTATCCCCCACATTAAAAACGTTACTAGAACCTCCTTCTTCCACCTGCGTAATATCACTAACATTAGAAACATCTGATCTAAAGATGATGCAGAAAAACTGGTCCATGCATTTGTCACGTCTAGACTGGACTATTGCAATGAACAACAAAGTCCATGCTCAGTAATCCAGGTTTACAATCCAACATTTTTCGGTCAGGTCATCTGGACAGTTTCTTTTTTTGTGCTGAAACGTTTCGCCTTCGATCCGAAGGCTGAAAAATGTTGGATTGTGTACCTGGATTATTGAGCATGGACTTTGTTGTTTTCAACCAGTTTGACACGACTGCCAACAAGGAAGAGGGTCGACAATGGAGGAGGGGGCGTACCAAAGAGACCATCTTATCACAAACAAAACTGGTTTGTTCCACTTTGGAGTAAGCTGTTGGGAGAAGAATCAGTTTTGTGTTGTGCGTTTCCTTGACTGATGAAGCCTTCTGGATGGAAGGCGAAACGTTTCAGCACAAAAAAAGAAACCGTCCAGATGACCTGACTGAAAAATGTTGGACTATTGCAATGGTTTATTATCTGGGTGTCCAAAAACTTCTTTAAAACATCTTCAGTTGATCCAAAATGCTGCTGCCAGAGTCTTAACTGGAGTTACTGGGAGAGATCATCTCTCTCCAGTTTTAGCTTTTCTCCACTGGCTCCCTGTCAAATCCAGAATAGAATTCAAAATCTTACTTCTAACCTACAAAGCTCTCAACAACCTAGCTCCATCTTATATTACAGATCTTATTGTTCCATATTTTCCTAACAGAGCACTTTGCTCTCAGACTGCAGGTTTACTTGTGGTTCCTAGAGTTTCCAGCAGCAGAATGGGAGGAAGATCTTTCAGTTCTCAGGCTCCTCTCTTGTGGAACCAACTTCCAGTTTCTGTCCGTGAGGCTGACACATTGTCCAGTTTTAAGTCTTTCCTTTTTGATAAATCCTATAGTTAGGGTTGGCTTGTTATGCTGCTATAGACTTAGACTACTGGAGGACAAACTGACCTCATTTCCTTAAATGAATTGTTGAAATTGAATAGTTTTCATTTGATACTATTTCTATTTTAACATGTGATTCTTCACCTGCCATTGTGTATCTATTCCTACCAAACCCAGCCAGTCGAAGCAGATGGTCCTCTTGTCCTGATCCTGGTTCTGCTAAAGGTTTCTTCCTCATGAGGGAGTTTTTCTTTCCACTGTCGCCTTCATGCTTGTTCAAGATGAGAGTTCAGTGATGGAGTTAAACTCAAAGCTGCTCCTCAGATAAATAATGTTCAGTTATTATTTTATATTTGAATGTTTCTGTTCAGGCCCTGAGATGATTCTGTTGTGACTTGGAGCTTTAGAAATGAACTGAACTGAACTGTTCTGGTCGTGTTCCTGCAGGCTGCAGCATGGAGCGCTCCGGCAGCGTCCAGCTGGACATTCCCGACTTCTGTAACTCGGTCCTGTCTCACCTGAACCAGCTGCGGGTTCAGGGGCGCCTCTGCGACATTGTGGTCAATGTTCAGGGCCAGAGTTTCCGTGCCCACAAGGTGGTCCTGGCTGCCAGCTCGCCATACTTCCGGGACCACATGTCTCTGAGCCAGATGAGCACGGTGTCGCTGACGGTGATCCGGAACCCGTCGGTGTTTGAGCAGCTGCTGACTTTCTGCTACACGGGTCGCCTCTGCCTGCAGCTCGCTGACATCATCAGCTACCTGACGGCCGCCAGCTTCCTGCAGATGCAGCACATCATCGACCGCTGCACCCAGATCCTTGAGGGCATCCACCTGAAGATCAGTCTGGCTGACCTGGACGAGGGGTCCAGGGAGGACGAGGTGGTGCGGGGACCCAGAAGCAGCAGGACCCTGGAGGCCGTGGTGCGAGGAGGAGCTCATCATGGTGGTCTGCGGCTTCTTGGCCCGCGTGGAAGCGCCGAACCCAGCGAGGTGGTCAGCCCGACCGAGGAGCCGCTCAGCCCACCGCCAACCGTGGAGCACAGCGGGCTCGAAGGGTCCGGGGCCTCCAGCAGCCGAGCGGGCAAAGAGCCGATCCTCCGCATAAACCGGGCGGGGCAGTGGTACGTGGAGACGAGCAGCGAGCCGGAGCGGGCCGACAGCGCTGATGAGCGAGCGGAGGGCGTCAGGATAAAAACTGAGAGGATGGAGGACTGGATCGGAGCGGGAGAGCAGCAGGAGGAGGGGGGCCCGATGGAGGAGGGGGCCACGGTGATGATCGACACATCAGGACGCAGCACGCTGGTGACGGCGCCACTGGGATCTCTGGGGACCCGCAGCACACAACCGTCCTCCAGCTTCAGCGAGGCGGACAGGTGAGTCCTGTTACCGTCAGGTGTCCGTCGCTGGTCCAGACCCGCCTGACTGTGTGGGTTTTGCAGGTTCAGTCCCACCGGCAGCGTGGTCGTCCTCACGGAACGTCAGAGAGCAAAGAGTGAGTCTCCGAGCCGAGCCGACGAGCTGCGACAGCCAAACTCGCAGGTGAAAACATTCAGCATTTTCCAGGTCTGAGGAAGTTTAGAACCTTCTGTTTCCAGACTTCTGTCTCTTCTTCATCTTCTAAAATAATTCAATGTTACGCACCCAGTACAACATAACTGGTATGTCCCCAGTGCCTGCTTTCAGAGTACGTACAGGCGTGCACGTACCAGTTAATTACTGGTACGTGTGTGTACATGGTGCGTACCTGGTCTCATCTGTAGTATTGTTTTCTTCTACCTGTCAGGGGGAGGAGCATGCAGCGTTTGATATGGGCGGCTACGAGGAGTACCTGAGGGAGCAGGTAGGAGACCGTTGGTTCCGCTATAACCCTCGGCTGACCTGCATCTACTGCTGCAAGTCCTTCAACCAGAAAGGCAGCCTGGACCGCCACATGCGCCTGCACATGGGAATCACGCCGTTCGTCTGTCGCATCTGCGGGAAGAAGTACACCCGCAAAGACCAGCTGGAGTACCACATCCGCAAGCACACCGGCAACAAACCCTTCCACTGCCACGTCTGCGGGAAGAGCTTCCCCTTCCAGGCCATCCTCAACCAACACTTCCGCAAGAACCACCCAGGCTGCGCCCCGCAGGAGGCGCACAGCGCATCCCCCGAGACCACCACCGCCTCCGTCACGTCCAGGGGAGGTCCGAGCGACGAGGCCTCACCGAGCCAAGAGGAGCCTGAAGGTGGAGGCGGGAGTGGTAACGGTGGAGGCCAGTACGGGGAGGGTGCTCAAACCTCCGTTTCCACCACGGGGCCCGACTGACCTCAGCAACAGGACGTGGGCGGGGCTAAGTCCATTCCTGTTGTACCTGAAACCTTCAGGACGTTCTGAAGACAACGAACACCTCAGAGTCCAAACTGAGATTTTTTATTTTCCGCTTTAAACCGCATCTACCTTCACTAACCAAGCCGGACCGATTAAGCTAAATGAAGAAACGCCACACACTCCCAACAACCTCATCGCGCCACAGAGTTCCGTGGTTCTCGTTCGCCTCCGTCACGTTTTCTGTTACACCTTTATACTTTTATATTCACAGCTTCACAAAGCGGCGTCACAGCGGTCCGTCTGGTCAGGACTTTGCCAAAATACTCAGTGCCAGTTTACCGGTTCAAATCCTTTTTGTTTGCCTTGAGACAATCCGGAGCAGTCAGGTTAATAATAATTATAATATTTATGCTCTTTAAGTGCCACGGTGGTAAATATTTAACTGAACAGGAACTAAAAGTTCAATTCCAGTGTGATTGGAGTTTCTTTTTTAGTGTTTATCTCATTTCAGACAAATATTAGTGTCATACTACACACATTTTTACTACGTTGTTGCAAAATGACAGTCGTATATTGAATATACTGAGTCTTATTATGACGCAGTATATTCAGTAATAATCCATTTTTCTACCAGTTGTTTCTTATTACGAGTTCTCAGATTCTAAGCTGACTTTTTAAATATATAGTTTTCTTAGAGCTTAAAACTACTTTTAATGAATTAGCTTTACGTAAAGAAATAAAATTGTAAATATTGTTGTTACCTGAATAATAAATTAAAAATACTCTCTATGAATCTGTTTGGCAATGACTGCCTTTTTTTTCCCAGGCAGTCGGTAAAATATAAATTTTTTTTAAAAGACAAGAAAAACTTTATTACTGATTTTCTGTAGGCATTTATTAAAACTGATATACTCCGTGCCACTAGGTGGCGAAAACGCCCACATAAGCAACAGAATAATCAGAAGAACATCGTTACGTTTTCTTCTTTGATGTTTACAATTTATCGTTTAGGCTCATTTATTACCAATTTCAGCACGTTCTAAGTTTAAAAGCAACAAGATCAGAATAAAACGCAGAAAAATACATAAAAAAAAAAAAAGCAGCTCCGTTGTTGTTTTATTTTCTAGAGCAGATAGCAACAATGAACACCGTACTTTGAGTGTGTACAAAAACACAAAACATAGTTTTGAAAACCTTTACACCGGAAAGTTTATAAAGAATACTTATGATTGGGAACCGCAAATGCAACGTTATTTAAAACAAAAAAAGTGGGTGGGGCCTAATTATTCAAATCTTACGCATCATCTAATTTAGTATTATATTGTTTTTAAAATGAAACTACACAAAATCCAAAACTATCAACATTTACATAAAATTAAACGACTGCACTATTTACAGTCATAATACTAATACCTAACCTTACTAACTGTTAAATACATTTACTATAAATTCAGTCTGTACAATTTATTAACTTTTGGACCTTTTTAAAACGAGAACCTTTAGCAGAACTCCAATCACACTGGTTTAGTTGATTTGGCTGTAAAGTGTAAAATAATTTCAGATTTGAGCTTGGTGGCAGTGAAACTTTATAAGGATCTTACAGATTCTGACTGAGCCGTCTGGCAGGACGTTGAGCGAACAAACACAAGTAGGAAAACTGGACGGGGTCCAGTCTCAGATAAGCTACACAGCTCAGTTACCTCTCGTCACGACGCAATACAGCTGCTGCACTCAGCACCACCTGGGGGCGCTCCGATCCACTCAGAGATCTCCGTCGCTCTTAGATTTTTGTTTTTATAAACAAGCATGTCTTTATCGTTGTTGTTTTTTTTTTTTTACTGTAGACCTTTGTGCTCCGACTATTGGTGACGGAAGAAGTGGCGGGAAAAAAAAGGCGGCAAAACCCGATCAGAAACATCTGTCAGAAGTGACGCATCACGTCTGCTGCGCTCAACTTAAAACATTTTTGTGTCAAACTGGAGAGCCAGTTACACTAAAATTATTATTTTTAATTTAATGTGCTGATCGTATTATATGGCGCCAATTCATAAAGCGTCATCGGACGCTGAAAAGCTAAACGGATCTAAAAATCTAGATAAATGTAATTTTGTTGTTTGTGTTTTAGTCTTCAGTCTTCAAATTATTCTCACAAATAATAACCAAAAAAACCCAAACATTTTAAACTTATAAAAGCTGCTACTTGCTCACAACATAAAGACCTCTGTCGCTAACAGCTAACGTCGTTAGCCGATGTTATTTACTGCTGTTGGCTCTTTACCTCCAACATTAAGTTATTTGGTTTATATTGCCCAGTAAACATGCACAAGAATTCCTATTACTCTACACACAAACTGAACTAACTGTTAGTTGGTCATGTCTCTAAACTTGAGATAAAAATCAGGAGCATTAGCTTAAATGTTGAGTTTTTACGTTAGCATTTTTCCACTGGTTCCACGCTTCCACCCCATTGTTATTTTACTTGAGATTATAATAAATATATAAAAGTTGTATATATATATATATAATTGTATTATATATATATATATATATATATATACATAATTATAATAAATGTTTTCTGATTTTAATAGCTAATCTCAAGAGAAAACAGGGCAGTTAGCATACTAGCTAACAAGACAGCTAATAAGCTAGCTGCGCTGAATCCCTCATTATGCTGCGTTCCTCGGAAATCACAACCTGAAGGATTGAGGTTGGTCAGGAATCTTGTGGCTCTCGTGCACTGTAAGGCCCGACCCGGGTTTACAGTGTCTGGCCCAGTTCCAGCTCCATTTTTGGATCTCGGAGACCTGGGGTTCCATTCGGGCCGGGCTGGCGCTGCAGACTGCTGACCATTGATTGGTTCGCTGGCCGGAGGGTCACATCACAGACGAGTCATAATAAGAACGTGTAAGAGGCCTTAGACTTCCCAAGAACAAATAGAAAACACTTGACTTGAAATAGCAGGGGTCAAAGGTCACTCAAGGACCCCGCTGCTTCCTCGCTGCAGTGAAAGGTCGAGGAACTCTGGATTATCAACTGTATCCATCTAAAACTGGACCCTAACCCGGTGCTCCCTTAAAGGGACTCGAGTCCAGCTGGGGAGCGTTGGTGTCCACCACACAAAACGTCTGTTATTTTTAGAGCTGGCCGCCATGTTTGTCAATAAACACGAATGAAACTGAATTTAAAATCCAAATAAACGCATAAATAGATGCGTCCACTGCGATCTGACAGGGTGCAGCGACAGTGATGCGTCACTGGTGACGGATGATCTGGGGGTCGCGTTAACCCAAAAGGAAAACGTCAAGGAGCCTGTCGGACCAGATGGATGTAGTACCCGGGCCATGGAGCTGGACCTAAACATGTAAGAACTCCAGAGGTTAAAGGTCACCTGCACGGAGGCGAACGCAGGTCAGACCAACTGGCAACAAACGGACAACGGCATGGCCTCCAAAACGCCAAAACTACTTCAGCACTTAACGGCAAGAAAGAGTCGTGGACGAACAATGTTTTCTAACAGAACAATGACAAATCTACACATATTAGACAAACGTATTTAAACTACTAGGATCATGTTTTTTTGTGCGTATAATGTACAGAGGAGCCGAATCCAGATGTGGAGGATGGTGGAGGTAGCACACGGATCCACTGTTACTGTTTTCTACAGGACTGTGAATCAGATTCTCAGTGAAGATGTTTTTATGCAAGTGAAGCCTCTGACCTCACGCCCAACGACTCGAGATTTTCACAATAAGAGCCGCCGCCACGCTCGCTCTTCAGGCTTACCCAGGATCTATCAGGTATAAAGACTCGTTCGTGTTTCCCCACGTAGCAGAACGTCAAACCTCAGTGCAGTTTGCACGCTGCAGAAATTTAAAGCCGCCTGTAAATAAACGCACGAGCAGCAGGTAAATAAAAAAAGAGAAGCCCTGACGCGGGCGACAAACGCACGACAGCAGAAATCCAACGTTTAAAACCTCCAGACCTCCTTGAAGCGTCCTGCAGCACATCCAGGTCTCAGTTGAACCTCATGAACAGACGAGTTCACGATCAAAGCGGTGACCTCCACTTGCACCGTGCATGCCGCCGTCGTGAAGACGCGCCGACGTGTTTCATCGCTCACGCACGTCGTCAGCCTCGCCTGAGCACGATGAACCCGAGCGTCTACCTGCGGTGCTCTGGGTATTTGTTTGTTTTCGTCCTCACATTTGAACAAATCTCTAAAACACCCGTTCTGTGAGCGTCCGCGTCAACAGAATGTCAAAAATACACAGAACGTTTTGTAGCTTGGCTGATTTTACCAACAACGTCGCTTTTTCATGCACCAAAAACTGTTTGTACATAAAAATATGTAAAACTCGAGAGCCGCGAACGCCACGTTACATGTCTGAGGTGCGGACGAGGTCTGCAAGTCGTTTTTTTAGCTAAAATTTGCAGCGATGAACATAGAAGTTTTATCTTTTTCTCCCCAAATAAAAAAACAAACTTCTTAAAAAGAACAATACTTCGTTCCCTAACTGTCAAAATCGTGCATGAATTCAACAGAAATCCTAAATCCAACTCCAAAATGGACCCGATTGTCTCAGACTGATGAAACGCTGTTGGCTCGTTCAGGTTGAGCGTTGAACCTTTACATAAACTGTGTCTATAAAAAGTCTTCACACTCTTGGCAGTTACTCCTTTAATGTAGTCATAAATCAGTCAATATAAATAAAAACTAATTTCTACAAAGGAAACCCAGTGAAATAAAAACGTGTAAATAAATATTCAGCTCCGTTTTCAACGCAGAGAAAAGATAAAGCGCAGGTCACGGTATGGACACCAACAGATGGAACGTTCTGTTAGATCCATCAAGAAGTGGAACATGTGGAACTGCACCAAGAAAAGACCGTCCTCACAAATTGTGACGGAGCAGGAGAAGAGCGAGACCACCAAGACTCCCGGGACCTCTCTGAAGGAGCTACAAGCTTCAGCGGGCGGGGTGGGAGAGACCGCGCGTACAGCGACTGTTGCCCGAGTTCTTCCTCAGTCTGAGCTTTGTGGGCGTGGCTGAGAGAAAGACACAGTTGACGGACGAATACATTGACCGGTCTTCCTCGTGCCGTTTGGCAAACGCGTGTGAAGAATTGATCTGTTTCTCTCGACAGTGGCGTTTCGTTTGCCACTCTCCAAGAAAGCGTAGACTGGTGAGGAGCTTGGGAAACAGTCGTCGTATGCACAGACTGTCCCAGCTCACCTGCTGAAGCTTGTAGCTCCTGGATGTTCTCGCATGGTGGTCTCTCTCTCATGGTTCTCCTTCGCGGTCTCTCAGTTTGCGAGCACGGCCTGCTCTTGGTAGATTTACACATGTTCCATATTCCTTCCACTTCTTGACGATCTGAGGGGTGTTTAGTTTAGTTTAGCCATCTCGGTTTGATTACTGAGCACGGACTTTGTTGATCTCAGTTTGCTGACTTTAATTTGAAGGGATGAATATTCATGCTGTCCGTTAACGTTACGCATTTTTATTTAATTGCTCTGTAGAAATTAGTTTGACGCAACGTTTTTATTTTTAAAGGCTAATTGATATTGACCGTGACTGATTTATGGCAGCAGTAAAAACATGAAGGGTTCAAGAGCGTTAATGGTTTTTATAGACTCTGTGTTTTAAAAGTAGGGCGGAGTCAAGAAGTTAAAATAAAACTAAAGTTGAGCTACGTTTAGCGCAGTCTGGTTTTACAACGACACGTTCATGTCGATTCAACTCGTTACAGTCGGGTGTGTTTGTTTTGTTAATGGAGCGCCTCACCTAGTTTATGTACGAGTTCGGTTTACCGTGTTAACGTAAGTTTCGTTAGCCTGTTAGCGATGAGCAGCGGAAGCAGGCGGATTGTGTTCAACTCTGACAAACGAGAGGAATCGAAGACGTTTCTTACGGTCCACGCCAACTTTGTGCGTTTTTTACAACGACACAAAAATCCTGTTTATCGTCAGTCGAACACTTGGTGTTTGAGATATTTCAAGAAAAACCATTAAATATCGTAAGAAATATAATTTAAAAAGTTGGACACGCTGCCCAGCTCTGGACACAAACACGAGCGCAGTTTGTTCTCCCGACTAATTTTATTTTTCATCGTTTGTAACGGCACGGACGCTCCGATCAGCCGCCATCTTTTCTTCAAAGTGTCGTTTCAAGCCAGTTAGTCAGAATATTTTAATATTTTACATCAGTTTGGCTGATTGGTGGCAAACGTCCAAAACTTTCAGCTGAAAATCCCGACCCGCGAGAGACGACGCGCTCAGACGTTCATCTTCACGTTTATTTATTTTGACGAAGACATTTGTGACTAATATCTGGTTATTTTGAGAAGACGAAGCTTGGTGATGTCAAGGTAATTAACTGGTTTTGAGAAAACCACATGGGATTTGTTATTAGCAGCTTCTGTACTTTATTTTTTATTTTTTTTGGAACTGTGAAAAAACGGCCAAACCTCAACCATCATCATCATCATCATCATCATCATTTCTGTTTTTTGAGTTTGGGCCTCGACTTTTTGTCTGATCATCTCAAATTTGCTTTAAGACATGCCAAACTTTGTTTTTATGCTTCTTCGGCTACACCGAACTTGTTGCTCTTTTATTCTGTGAATCTCGCTTTTATTCTGAAAAACGTCCCGTAACCTTGACAACAATATGCCTAATTATAAATGAAATGGTTTAAGCATAATCCCTTAATGAGATTACTCTTTGCTGTTGATTCCTCAAAGTATATCCTAATATATTGAAACAGAAAATAGAAAAAATGGAGTTCAGTAAATGAATTTTGAATATTGTACTTTTTATTTTTTATTTTTTATGATTGGTACTCAACGAGCTCTTTTAGCAGACGAACCTGAAAGGTTTCATGTGAAGATCTTTTATGTTGCATGTGTTTGTTGCTCAATCATGTTGGAGTGTGCGTGCGTGCGTGCGTGCGTGCGTGCGTGTGTGCGTGAGGCCAAAGGTCGACTAGTTTAGAAAAATGTGAAGAAGCTTCTTTCACCATGACCACTAGATCCCTCACAGGTCGGATTTCCTTCAGAGGAAATAAAGCACTTTAAGTGTCAAGCAGCGCTCTCCTCTCCTTTCCTTCTTCAGCACACCACAACCCTCCTGCTGCCCTAGGGTCAAGGCCGAGGCCTCGTTTTAGGGCTTGTTTTGAGCCAAAGACGGCAGGAGACAGTGATGGACACGTCTGCTCACAGAAAAGGCTCCTGGTTTCTTACTGGTCTCTAACGTTCAGATTTAATGGAAATAATCCCAAACTTCTTCAATGTTCAGACTCTGCGCAACAGTTCTGGTTTATTCTGAACCGTCTCGTGATTAAAAAGTACACAGACTTACCGTGAGCAGTGTTTACGAGCACTGATGCAACACTTGAGATAGAAACTGGACCACCGCTTCAGCGATATGAAAAATGAGAAATGACTTCGGGCCGGTCTTAAACTATATTTCATTTAATTCCTGCTGCAGTTTTGGAAAAGCCCGAGCAAAAAGTACGTCGGCGAGGCTGGTGTGTCCACGCCGGTCGATCAGCTTGAACGATCGAAACATCGTTTCCACAAAGACCATTAGATGTTGTTGAAGTCCGAACCATCGCTCGCAGTTGAAGCGCGTCTCAGAACGTTGGACTGAACCGACATTTTAAGACCGAACGGATCAAGTGGATGAACTTTTGCAGAGTTCGTAGCTTCCAGTTAACTTTGAGCTGCGTAAACTTTACAGAAACAACTGTAGACGTTGGGTCTTTGACCTCCACAGAGGTCACGCACTCCAACTCTCGAGCTCAGTTTTCTCTTCAGAGCTGGACGTGTCGGCTCTGTTGAACTTGTACCGCCCACGCAGAACACCTGTACATGTTGTACCTGTACATGTTGTACCTGTACATGTTGTACCTGTACACGTTGTACCTGTACATGTTGTACCTGTACATGTTGTACCTGTACACGTTGTACCTGTACACGTTGTACCTGTACATGTTGTACCTGTACATGTTGTACCTGTACACGTTGTACCTGTACA